GGTCATGACATCAGAAAAAATAAAACAAAGTTACCATCAACCGGAACTGATTTATGTGTTTATGATTTTTTTAACAAGTCCATTCATGGAAAACTTCGCGATGCAGCGATCGAATCCTTCTATTAAGAATCTTTCTGATCTTGCACGTGCGTTTAAGGTGAGACAGTGGTGATTTTCATTTCGTTAACTCAAAACCGATCTAAACAGCGACGTAAAGCTAGTCCTGAATAATATCAATTGCAACAGATCTTTAAAACAAAAAATTTGATGTAATGATCGAATCCTTTGATAACAACCGTTCCGATCTTGCTTAAGCATGCGTTTAAAGTGGGAGAGTTGTAATTTTCATTTCGTTAACTCAAAACCGATCTAAACAGCGACGTAAAGCTAGTCCAGGCTAATATCAACAGCAACAGATGGTTAAAGCAAAAAACTTGAATAAAATGCCATGACATCGCTTACCTGCCCTGACTTGCCAGTGACGCTTTGAAGGAAAGAATACAAATGTGCGATGTCTTTTATAACATCCATGATAGCCTGCGAAATATAAAATTCATCAACTTGTTAGCCTTGTTCATCATTTCTTCCGGTTGATCGAAAATTTTAGACAGGCTGACTAATTCACAGATTCACACAATACAATTTTACCCTTATCTAAAAAAAAGGAAGCTTTGTCTGTCGAGTCAACTCTTGCAATAAACATCACTGTTTAATTCTCAGAAATATATGTAATTTCTACCTCTAGAGCCCAGTGCTTCTCCGATTACTTAGCGTCAGGCGTCAGCGAGGTCATTTATGAGTCCCAGTGAAAAATCTTATGTGTTGGTCTCAGCATGATCCCCGATGGGAGGTATTTCCCAAAATAACTGTTTTATTGCCCTTTGTGACTTCATAGGGAAAGGCCCTAAAAACAACGAATGAAATGAGTTGACATTAGACAAGCCCAGTCGGGGGTTCTCAGTCATTTAAGTATTCGGGGTCTCTATCAATCCGCAGACAAGGCCAAGGCATTTTCGTAGCACAAAAAAGGTAAAATTATTTAATTTTTCTCGAGTTTTTGGTATTTGGTGAGTCGATATAACTAAACAGCTCTAAGGAATATGAGGCTTTTTGCATTAAACTTAAACACATTTGCACTTTGAGCAAAACCTGATAACACGAAAACTTTATAAACTCAGTTGATAGAACCAAACTATCTTGTTATACCCACCACCGACGCAACACATAGTTTCTTTAGAAACTTACCTCCTTTAACTAATAAAATCAGCCTTGTTACGCTCAATAAGCAGCTGCCAAATCGTGTGGAATAACCCGCAGGCTTTATGAAAAGGTATACCTCGATCACCCGCTGCTTCAGACAAACTGTGATGTTATCATTCAAAAACATTTTTATCGCTAGCTTTGGCTGAGAGTATGAAAGCCACTGTTATCAGGATAGCTACTGATACTGAGATAGTAAAATGCCAAGTGCAGAAAGCGAAAAATACATCACCTGATCATAGTTTACTGCGTTTATAGCATAAAAGCAAGAAGGAGAAATTACTGAGTTTTTCCTCGCAGTATTTTTTTCTTAGAACCCTCGAATAAACGCTGCATTTGTTTAATTACGCACGGCATTTATTCCAGGGCACAGTTAAGTGATAACTTTGCTTCCACCTGAGCGGTTTAGGGACATTATTTATCGACTAGGGAGGAGGGATGGAGGAAGTAAGAGTATTTTTTATTCATATGTTTACAATGAAAACGGAGATGCTAATGGTCGTCACTAACAGAGTATAAAGAGGGGGGGCTGGAGAAAATTGACTTTCAATAATTGGGAATCTGAGCCTTCGGAGAGGATCAGGTAAATTTCATTGTGACACAGCCAAAATCATCTGGAAAACGGCAAACACCCCCTCTCAGCCCTCCGGCGATAGATAGTTAGTACTGTACAATCCCTTAGTAAAGTCACGGGCGGCATTCGTCTCGTACCTGAACCTTCCACGGTCAGTTACACTTGCACGGCAGGATCTGGGTACGAGATTAAGGCGGCGTTTCATAGAATGAATATATATATATATGCTAAGCAAAAACGAAGGAATTTTTCAGTTTCCATCACATTTAAGTTTCCATAGGGAGAAGGGAGTAGAAAGTTTTACGTAAGTACTCCATCGGAGATCACTAAAAAAAAAAAATAGATTGTAGCTCTCCATCCGATAATTCGCAGCCTATGGATGGCGTGCATAAGAAGTTACTGTAACCCTTTAACCTGAAAGAGTGACTAGCATCTAATTTCTCCTTACATCATCTCTTCAGAATCAAACAGTAAGTTAAGAGAATAAAGTAAATGATTGCCAAATTGAGAAGCTTTCGATTGCTAAACAAATTCTCCTTATCAACATCGAAGGAAGTGAATAAAGAACAGTATAGAGAATATGCTTGAAAACGTATATTAATGCTTGAGTGTTGAGGGCCAAGAAAAACCTTTATTTCGATCCTTAATTGCAGCTGACGGTTAAAAATAAAAAATGTTAAAAAAACTTTATTTGTTGTGACCCATTTAAATTCCTTACTGCTAAGATGAATACATCCATGGTGACACAACCGGTTTTAACAAAAATAGAGACTGGTTTAGTTGTTTCAATAAAGATCTATTTGATGTTCTTGCTTGAGCTTCCGGACCAGGTCTTTGACGCCGTGTTCAAGAGCGAGTTGTACAGTGTAATAATGCCTTCCTTTCGCCCATATTCCAGTGGCATCATCAGTTGCCACTCCGTCACACGCCCAGTTACCTGCTGTGAATGTTTCTCTCTCTGTTTTGAAGCTGAACACGCGACCCTTGTAAGTAACCTGAACGAGGCATTTAAAAAATTATAAATCAGTAAATTTTAACGTGACACAACCAAAATCCTTCCGACCCGGCAAATGAAATGGAAATGAAGGAAGGAACTCGAAGAGTGTAATAAAAATAGAGAATATGATAACACGATTAAAATAAGAGGAAAGAAAATGAAGTTTGAGTTTTTTTCTGGTCCATGACCTGTATCCGAAAGGGAAACAAATTCAGAATATGAATCGGTCCACAAGGAATAACTAAAAGTAAACCGAGCGATTCAAAATAAAGTTTTTCCAAAACCAAACTGTTTCTCCTTAAGGGGGCCACTTTTGAGTATATAATTTCATCATAATGACGTGGAAAACTCAACTGCTGATGTAGAAAAGTTTTGACGCAAATCACTCAAATTTTTCCTAAATATTGACTATAGGAACCACAAGGGAGATCTTTCATGCAACTAACAAGCTGGTATTTTCTGTTGTGGTCTCCAGCTTTTCTATGCTTTCGAGCTAAGGTGTAATTTTTACACAAGGATGAATATAACTCAGTACTTTTTCTATATATACAGTCACTAAGGTAAGGCACTGACCTGTCCGCTTTCACCGTACTCAAGCGTGAGTTTTTTTAGCCAAGCGGCCAACTTATTGAATTCATCAAAACTTGGCATCGTGGCTGGAAAAAATGATGAAAATCCACTCGTAATTTCGATCAGGTGGTTGTAGAAAACATGTTTTTGATTTCTTTTGGATGGATTAAATATACATACCTTTTGATGAATTCGACTACAGTTTCAATCTCTCCTTTCAACTATTGGATTTAACTTCTTCCTGTAACTGCCAGATATTTTAAAATAATAGTAAGGATGAGCTCATCCTGTAGAGCCCAGATCTCCTCTGATGACGCAATATCACATGTCTAGTCTTTGATTAAATTTTATAAGACCCCACAAAAAGGGCCAAAATTTGCCGAGTATGAAATACTCCAATGCCACCATTTGCGTTCTTATTTCGTTTAATCAGGTAAAAAATTTATTTGATGATAAATTCCCTGAAAAAAATGATTAGCTAGTCATCTCCTGCGCTTTGTGACACTCTACCTACCGTTTACGAGTCATAATTTATCATGTTCTACTTTCTCACTGATTGGCTGTATTGATTGCATTTTAAGGTTAATTTCAATTCTACCGCTTCTGTTAATAGCACAAGCGATCTATAATTACACTTTTGACTTCGTACACTTGACTGCGTTCTTAAGCGCGATCTGTGCAGAATGCCTCGCAATGGCGTGTAGTCTGATCTTCACATGCTTTGCCATTCACTAACAAGCTAGTCTCGCTGCAACAACAGCTTTCAAAATAAGAACCCTTGAAACTGGATTGAAAATATGTTTTTTTTTTCTCACATATGACGTGAGACAAAAACTGAAACAAATTAGAATTCAAATCACGCCATAACAAATGACTGATGGTCTGATATACTGCAGACTATTCATTTATTTATTATTTTATTTTCTTATTTTTCTCAGGCTGCTTTTAAGCATATGTTTATTTGAGTGTCTGTTATTGTTGTAGTTGTTTAATGCGTGTGTGTCCTCTCCTTTTCAACCTAAAATATTTTTTACCTAAATCATGCCATAAAACTGATAACTCACCTTTGTAAAATATTAGGAGCCTGCAGCTCGTATAACCCTCTTGGTTTCCCTACGGGTTTCCTCGCCTCATACTAAATCTTCAGCTATATTATATTAATGTATATGTAACTCCCTTTTTATTTCTACTGATATATCATAATTACAAAATGGCAAAAAAACAAAAACAAAAAAGATTTAGGGAAATGCATGACGTCTACGGAAGGACTATTTTTTTTCTCATCCAGAATGTCCACAAAAAAAATTATTCTCGTGATTGTTAACGAATGCCGTGAACCAAAAACAACGTACGTGAGGTATTTTTACGCAAGGATCGAAATTAATCCGTTGCATGGCATAAATATGCGGGTGAAAAACGTTGCTTATCAATCAAATCTTATAAATATGGTCCGGCGGCGATGAAAACGGATTATTGATAAAAACGGATGAGTGATAAGATTTCCTGTCTATTTCTGGCTCTGACCCCTTTGCATTCTCCATGGTCCTCTTGTTAATTGACTTCATCTGACACGTCAGAGGGTTCCAATGGGGTGATTAATTACTCTAACATTTTGTCCATTTTACGGCTATAACGGTTTAAATTCTTTGTGTTGCGATTAAGAGAAGTTCCTTTGCGACTAGCTTTTAAAATTTGTCAATTTTTATGCCTGAAAATTTCGTTTTGTTTCTGTTTTACGACTAACGGTTCACCCTCTTTAAAAAAGTTCAAAGTTATGGGACAGTGAGGAAAGAAGTATGGAGCAGAAAGCGAATCTAGCATGTTACAGTTCACTGAGAACTTGGACATCACTTTGTTATTATCCCATGAGATGCAAGTTTGTCAATGAGTTCCTTGACAGCGTGTTCAATCGCTCCATGTTTGCTCTTATAGTGCTTTGCCTTAACACTGATGCCGCTCTGGATATCCCATGCCACTCCATCATACACCCACTTCAGCTTGTGCACTCTGCCTTCGGCCTTGTATTTAATCACTCTCTCCCTAAAATTTAGCTATAAAAAAATGGAAATGAAAAAAGTCAGGAAGAGATCATCATTTGCATAGGACGATTATCGATCGTACTGGAGAAGTGGAAAATTTGAGTTGTTTTTGACTTGGACAAGAACTTGGCATAGACCAAGGAGGGCGGAGGGGGAAGTGATTTTGGGGGGTTGTAGCTCCGCAACAAAAAGTTTCCTGAGGGAACACAACCCACCTTCTCAACCCTCCCCCCTCCCCCCTCACCCCTTCCCCCGTCCGCCACATACATTTCGGTGTTGACAGTATCTTTAGCACAGCACCAACCTGGCTTGGAAAAATATCCAATGTTTTTCGTGGCAGTAATATTTTTTCTGAAATTTCACCCGCTCAAGCATTAACACCTCGGACTCACGCTGGAAAAAAGTCTAAAGTGATTCGCTAGTGCCGAAAAAAACGCAGAGAATATGGTTAAATTTAAAAGCATGCGCTTAGCTTAGTGAATGAGCCCCCCGGTCTTCAGCACAAAGTTTCACACACAATCCTCAGGTTTGATTTTCTACCGGTAATTGATAGAGATGTAGGGCTCCCTGCAGTGCAGTTGAATTTCAAATAACAAAGAACCGAAATAAATTAACGAATCATCTGTTTTTCTACATGCCAAAACAAATCAAAACAACACTCTCGCTCTCGAAAGTGAAAGTTATATTTCCCCACTGTTTTACCGAGAAGTGTGCCGTGAATTCGAAAATGAAGAGTTGAACTTTAGTGATGGTGCCAAGTATCATGACAGATTCGTCCCAGTTTATTTTCGTAGACCATCACCACATCGACGTATTCAGACGTACATTTTGCATATTCACTGACAAATGTAGGTTTAAAGTGCCTGTTATGATTTGCTTCGCTGATATCGAACGAGACAAGTCACCAACCTCTCCAGATTCGCCAGTTAGGAGCAGAAGAGCTGAGTACAAAGTTGCCAACTCCTGAATAACTTTCATCTCTTTCAGGATTTTTGTGCCAATAAATTTCACCTGTTAAAAACGATTGCATCACAATACGTTGAAAATTTATTACACGCGCATTTTATGGATTCAAAAGCTTGCAGCGGAAATTCTATCGATGTACACCAGAAAAAGTACATAGCTATCGTCGCAGCATTCGAATTATATACGAGATCACCTTCTGTTTTCGGTGTCAGGCCTTGGAAAGCTTGTTTGACAGAAATTACATCGAAACTGTTAAACGTACCTCGCAATTTGGACGGCCAGTCCGAATTCTCGCATCGATGTTGTATGAAAATAATACCGGATGTAGTTCCGGTTTCTCCCACTCCACCACGCTTTGATAACTTCGTCCCCAGACTTCCGGTTCAATTCGAAGGGCTCGACCTGGTAATTAATAGAGAGAGGAATCGTCTAAATATTTTCCTCGCTCCCAACGCACCTTACAAGCAGCTGAAATAGCACAGGCCTACAAGCAGGCTATCATTTGCGCCGCTGCACGAGTATCTCACGGGCATCCCGACTCGACAGGGCAAGTTGTGGAGGTCTGCGTCTGGCACGAAAAGTGATTATACCAGAAGATTTGCACGTCTCCTACTGTTTCACTTCAATTTCCCACTCGTCTCTCGCGACTCCCTGATAATCCCGCGAAATGCTCGTGCAGCAGCGCCTGTGAGAGCCCATTCGCTGACAAAGGTTGTTTGAGAGCCATTTTTAATTTCCATTTGAGACTTCATACTTGAAATTGTATTTTAGGTAAGATTGAGTTCACGCAAGTAAAGAAAATATGCTTAACTTAGCCCACAAGAATATATTTTCGAAATAAAAATGATTTACCATTTTTTTATGTCGCTTTTCCTTCTGCTCGATTCTGATCCAGCTTCGAAGCCATTCTTGCGAGGTTTAGATTTCAAGTTTCCGCTGTTAATAATACATATCAGCTACAGACCGGAAGCAGAACAAAACATTTCGAGCTGACCGACCAAATTCAAAACTCCAAAAACTCCAGAACATTGTCCGAAATCGGAAGATTGTCGTATAACTCCGCACTACTGTGAAATAAAGCCTGAAATGGTCACGACTGTCAGAATTTCCCGCCCTCCTTAGCTCGAATAATTGTAAATCCGTCGTTAGTCACGAGGAATCGGAGCCGCGTGAACCTCCTAGAGTAGGTGCAGTCCAAGGTAAAATAGCTCGCGGCGAAAGGCTTTGAAGGTTATTGCTAGTATTTTCGGTCGCTTCGTCATGAATTTAAGTGGGGCTAGCCCTTTTCATGTGCAAAGAAGGGGCAGAAGACCAATTCGAATAGACTCGAGTTCCTCATAGCCCACGGCACTCAATCAACTTCTGTCTGGCTATGAAGAGGAATTTGTTGAAGTAGTCGATGAGGAATTGGTTTGTTTGATCTGTACGTTTCCTTTAAGGACGTCTATGCAAACAAGCTGCGGCCATACGTTTTGCAAGTTGCTTCGACCAAGATTTCTAAAGGTTTGTTTTAGGTTTAAATCCTGCTTTTTCAACTCTTGGGGAACAAATCTTCCCTCATGGTAATTAGATCATTGGGTGAATCCCTCTTAGCTTCTTTTAATTAATGCCGCCGCAGAATAGGTCAGATAGAGGAGTTTCTAAATACAAGTTGTCAATGACAATGCCATATCCTAATTTAACTTTTTTAGATCTCGTGGAGGAACTGTTACTGCAATTAGTTATTATTGCGCTGCAGGTAATTTAAGAGTGGATTCTGGTCACAGCTTATTAAGGCCATTGAATCTTTTTTCTCGATGATGTCCCTTCAGAATTACTTAATGCATGGTCAGAAAACGAATTTCCATTCTTGAAATTTTCTATCCTTGGAAAAATACAATTGATCCTAGGCTGAAAGGATTAATTTCTAATTTTCTAACTGGTATGTGATTTTGGGAACGTATGGGTAAGGATGCCTTTGACGTCTTCTCACCGTGATTGACCTTCTTTAACACATTAACTCTTAAAAGTGATTGGTTTCTAATTTCTCCTTACAATATGGCTAGTGAATCAAACATTAAGGTTCTGAGAGTTAAAGAAACGATCACCAACTAAAGAAGCTCTTGATTGTTAAACAAATTCTCCTTGTCAGCTCCTTAGCAAATGTATAGAGAACACTATGGAGAATATGCATACTGATGTTAGGGAAGCAATAAGAAACGAAAGATTTTAAGAGGATGGTATACAATGTGTCGTCATTACTAGCCATAAACCTTGGTTGGATAACATATTGCGCTGCTCGATCGCTGTGCATGTGCAACAGTAGTGAATTTTGAATAAATTCCTATGATCTGTATGAATGATTTTCTTTTAGAAGATGCGAGATATCAGATGCCATTCATATGTTCACAGAGATGATGGTTTTTTTGAAAATCATGTCATGTTGATCTTATGAGTTTGAGTTAGTGAACAAAACTTTGTCATTGTTGAAACTTAGAACAGCTTTATAAACACAGTTTGAGTTGTTGTTTACGCTTAAATTTGACCTCACGGAAACTAAAACGACTATGCCCGGGCCCGTCAGCGATTTCGGAAACAAATTATTCATCTCTATTGACCCTTTTTTATTTGTATATGATAATTGTAAGCGTCTTTCGGTGATAAAGACAATTTACTATTAATAATGAATTACGAGTAACCGTAAATATTTAATTCTACCGTTAAATAGATATATCGCAACATAATTGCGCACGCGATATTAGGGCAAAAGTATCTTAAACATGCACTGTGCGAGGATTCGATCAGTCCTCAGACCTTCAGATTTCGCGATCTAAAGCAAAGCTCACCTAAAAACAAGAACATTATGTTTCGTTAGATCAGTAACCAGCAAGTCGCCGTTCTTACAAACAGTCATAGCCCAAGGTCTCTGGATTTCTTGATCAAATGAGGCGAGAAACTTTCCGTCCAGCGTAAACATATGAAGCTTATTGTCGCCACAGATGATCAAGTTATCAAACGCATCCACGGCTAAACCCGAAGGGTATTGCACTTCTCCTTGACTGCCGATGTGAAAGAGAGGGATACCCTCCCTGTTGAAAACGGTGACACAATTAGCCATCATATACGACACAAAATAAGTTTCATGATGATAAACAACACAACTGGGGCAAGCGTCACAATCCGGGGCACCGAAAGACTGTAGTAGTTCTGCACCGTCCGGCGACAGGACCTTGATTTTGTGGTCAGCTGAATCACACACGATCACATGACTTTCGCCATCAGTTTTGATAAAGACACTGCGTGGATCAATCACGTGCTCACTGAACTGTTCGATAAATTGACCGCCATTGGTAAGGACAGACATCTTTCTTGAGTTTTTATCGCCGTGAATCAGGATCATGTCACCATTCCTTGAAAATGCTACTGACCACGGGCGACCCATCTTGACAGCTGCGCCAGTTTGTGATCCTGTCACTCCCCCTATTGTCCTAAGGTATTTCCACTCGGCATCAAACAAATGAACGCGCTTATTACGAAAGTCTGCCACGGCGATGTCTCCTGTATTATCGTTCTTCGCAATGTTCCATGGGAAGTCAAATTCGCCTTCTCCTTGTCCACGTGTTCCATGGGAGTTCACCACTTGGTACTTATGTGGCTTCACGTTCACTTTCCAAGGACTACCAGTCAGCGGCCACCCATTCACCTCGATTCTAACGTCGTGTTGTCCGACACTTTTCGGAATGTAATACACTTTGTACGTTCCATCTTTGCAATCTTCCACTTGTGTCTCCTCTTCTCCATCTGGTGACTTGATAGTCACAGTCACTTCCTCTAGTTCGCTATAAAACTGTTTTCCTTCTAAGTCTCGTGTCGTGATTGTAAAGTTAGTCCCGAGGCCTTGTTCCGCTTCTTTCAAGCCTTCTCCTTCGGTTTTTGATTGAGAATGATCGTGCTCAATAACTTCACCCAGTGGCAGCTGAAATAGTTGTCTCAAAGCCGATACATTTTCTTTGTTGACAACATAGTTGACATCTTCTGGTTTGTAGAGTTCCAGTTTCTGACATTGATCCAAAAGCTCTTTACAGGGAGAGAAGATAGAATGCTCCTCTTCAAGGATTTCTAGAGCGACGTTTCTTTGAAAAATACCTTCGCCACGTTCGACGGATCTTTTCATTTCTCTGGCAAACATTTGAAATTTTTCTAGTTGCGCCTCATGATCTTTTTCTTGTGAATGATAAATCTGTGTTAGTTTTTCCTTCATCAGCTTTTCCTGATCCCTCAGCACTTGGACGAGTTCTTCAACAGTTTCATTCACCTTGTTTACCGCGGCAGTCATTCTAGCTTTGCTCTTCGTCCTCAGCTCGATTTGCTTATTGATTTTACTCTCGACGACAACGATTTCTGCTTTAGCGTCGTACAGGATCCTTGCCATTGGGGCCTTTCGCTCATCAGCAGCTTGTTGTATTTTAACCCTTGAGTGCCTTCTATGACGTACTTGTTGACAATTCTGACAGATGCAAACCTTACACTTCAAACAGTAATGCTCAACTTCTTCGCTCTCGTGGTACTTGCACATTGCCCGTCTACTCAAAGCTTCTCCTGATGTAGAGGTTTCACCTAAAAAGCAAAGCGAGAAAATATTATTTTCATACCAGTATCAATTGATTTTACGTTTTACAAGAGAAACATCTTTTCCACATTTTTAGAAGTCTGTTCCTTGTAAATAACTGTTCAGAAATTTTGTTCCTATTAAATTTTTGCTCTGTTTACAACATCAAATGTTTTGGTGCAATACATAGCCTGTGAAGCTAACCGTTATGTGTGCACTTCAAAGCAACGAATGACGAAGCCATCCAAAAGGTCCCTTGGCTTCGACGCTTGATATTTGAAAGTGCCCACAAAAGCAGGCTTACACTTTACCAGTAGCTCTTAGTGTCAATGCGTTTCTTTCACTTATTTAAAAAAAAATAACTCGCGAGCAGGAGGTCGTCCTCAGCGCTTCAACAAGAGCGTTTGTTCGCCCGCAGGAAAGTATGGAGCCTTCAGCAACGCGAGCCAGCGAGATCTGCTAAGGGATCTAGCACCTCATTATTAGTGCCAGACCACCGGCCAACGTCCGAAAAACGTGTGTGCTGAAACGCGATATATGAGAGCATGCTCCTGCTCCTGCTGAAAACGTACCTTGATCAGTTGTTTCTTTTGAAGCCGTCAGGACATCAAGTCTTTTCTTTATTTCGTCCAGCTGATCTTTAATGTTGTTTTCGTCCTTTTTCCATTGACTCAGTAATTCCATGAAGTGATCTCCAACTTCAGGGTCCATGCACTCGTTTCTGAGATCGTCAATAGCAGCTTCATAAG